TGAAAGCTCTTGAAATTGATGATCTTGAAACGGTGCGAGGGTTAAATCAATAAACCACTCTCAAAGGTCCTTGTGATACACGTTGGAACTCACATTATGATACTTTACTTGGTATTAATACTATGTTTTATCCCGTGGTGAAGGTGCTTGAATGGATTGTTGATGATGTCAACCAAGATAATTTAGGTGAAGCAAATAGGTTGTTGAAAGAAATACAAACTTTTCACTTTGTGTTTCACCTATATTTGATAAGATTTATATTGGGAATCACAAATGATTTGTCAAAGGCATTACAAAAGAAAGACCAAGATATTGTGAATGCGATGATGTTGGTCCAAAGATGTAAGCAAAGCTACAATCCGTGAGGGATGATGACTTTGATGATTTGCTTGGCCAAGTATCAATATTTTGTGGCAACAATGATATTGACGTTCCTAACATGGATGATTTATTTGTACCACAAGGGAGATCAAGACGTAAAGCTCAGAAAATCACAAACCGCCATTATTATCGTGTAGACCTATTTCTTACTATCATTGGTAAGCAACTAGTGGAATTGAATAATCGCTTCACTGAGGTAAACACTGAATTGCTTCTTTGTATGGTATGTTTGAGTCTGGCTTATAATTTTGTAGCTTTTGACAAACAAAAAAATACTTCATTTGGCTAAATTTTACCCTCAAGAATTTAATGATGGAGACCTCATGAAGCTTGAAGATCAACTTGGGCTTTATATTGTTGATATGCAGAGCATGACAAAGTTTTCATCATTGAACGGAATTACTGATCTGGCAGAAAAATTGGTGAATACAGGAAGGAGTAGAATATACAACTATGTGTATTTACTTCTTACATTGACTTTAGTTTTACCTGTTGCAACTGCTTCGGTTGAGAGAGCTTTTTCAGCTACGAATATTGTGAAAACACCATAGCATAACAAAATGAGGAATCAATGGTTGAGTGATAGCTTGGTTGTTTACATTGAGAAAAATGTTTTTTCTTGTATTAGTAATCCAAATATAATGAGATGTTTTCATGATATGAAGCCTTGTCGGCAACAATTGTAGGTTAATTGTAATGTTATTTTTTTAATTAATTATGACTAACATTAATATTTTTTAAATGATAAGGATGTTTAGTTGTCTTTTTTTTTTTTTTTTTTTTTGGAGCTCTTAGCTTTTAAAAATTGCACCTCTGCTAAAACATTCCTGGGCGTGCCGCTAATTATAGGGGGAGAACACAGAC